GGGGGAGGTGGTTCTCAATTAGATTACGTATATCCCTAAAATAATGAAGTCCTAAAGGATTTCTTTTGAAAGTTCATTAGAAACATTTGTTGGATCAACTTGCCACCTTGAGTATTTGCCTTTCAGGTGGATCAGTCAAGCATACCACCTCACTTAGCCTTGAAAAGTTAGTGATATTTTCTAAAATAATTGGTAGTTTTTACTGCTATTATTTACATTTTCTAGCATGTGGCGGGCAGTGCTCTAAAATTTTTTCATTTAAGTGCAGCACTATAATAGCATTTGGATGACATTTGAAGTAGCCTGTGGGGATTCAAATTAAGTTTTAACTTTAACAGCTTATGTTGCTACCATGAATGAACTACTACGTTCCATGCCAGCTAAACTCCTACATCCAAATAGTAACTGCTGTATCTCCAGCTCCCCTTCTTTCTGAAGTCTAGCAAACTGCATTTGGTATCAGTTCCAACACATACATTTATTTCTGAGTTGCTAAAAATTCATCTTATACCTGAGGAAGTTTGTTTATTATTTATTTTGAACTGTTGTCAAGGCAAGTTGTGATTTCTGCCTCCTGAGTTCCTCGCTACTGGCCTCTTGCTGACCTTGAGGTCAGGTCCAGTGGCATCATTCATTCCCTGGGGGTATTCCAGATGGCTTTCCCATTTCAGAGAGTACTTTCGTTTCCTAGCTGAGCCATAAAGCCATTCTATAATATATGAGAGCTCCTCATTATCTGAGGTGTTTATTGCCATTGTCCTTTGGTTACATGGCTGTGAAAAGGGATGTTCTCATAATTCAAAAACTGGCATTGATGAACTAATTACAAAATGAGTCCCACTTAAATATTCCTTAAAAGTCCTGCCTAGCTAATGGTAGTTAAGTATATTCACACATCTGGGATCAGTGACTTGATGGGGCATTTTCTCTGATTACTTAGTGCTTTGATGCAGTGCAATATCATGCAAATCAATTGCAAGTTTTGTAAAAATGTATTTCATAAAATGGATTAAAGTGGTATTGGAAAAGTAGTTGCATTACAGCTGAATTGGACTTGTTACAATTGGTAACAAAATAAGCACTTCAAATGATTTACCTATCAAAGGGTTAAGAGAGGTCCTTGGAAAAATTGAAAAGCCCTCAAGGTATTTTTATAAAAGTGACTCTCTTTTTGTGCTGTGAAATTCAAACATGGAAATGTGAAAGATGTCATGCCCTGCTGTCACAGTTTGTCAGAATAATTACTTTCCTGCACAAAAGTCAATTCATAGTGTTTATTCCAAGTTAAGTCTAGAATCAAATATAGTTATATTTATGCCTGATTTTTAAAAACAAGGTAGAGCTTGCTGGGCCGAGCTACGCAAGAGGCCGAAGTGGAGGATCACTTGAGCCTAGGAGTTTGAGACCCAGGGCGATTATAGCAAGATCCCATTTCAAATAAAAGGAGGAAAAAAATAAGATAGACTACATTATTTACATAACTGGTTCCTTTTTCTTTAAAAGATAATCTTATTCAAACTTTACCATTTATGAAACTATGGACCTTGTTGACAGTGAATTTATTTAAGCGGCCTTTTCCTAGTAGCAATATATAAGCCAAAC